AGCAGCTCCGGTGTGGGCATTTGACCTGGCCCCTAAGCTGCAGTTGACGCACCGCTCCGATTCCACCTTCCTGCCTGCACCCTGGGAGGCAGCTCAGATGTTGGGTCCCCTCTCCTCACCTGGTGTTCCAGGCTCCTGATTCTGTCCTGTTCTAGCCCAGGCTATTATAGTTATTTGGGGAGGTGAACTGTCTCTCTCTTTTCTCTCTCTCTCTCTTAAGTATGCATGAGTCCAGCAGGGCTTAAGCCACCATTTACAATGTTGTCATCCATATCATAGCTGCCCCTCTTCCCATCCAGCTCCTTCCTCATGTGCCTCGGAAGCAAGCAGCAGATGACCCAAGTGCTTAGGCCCCTGTACCCACATAGGAAACCAAGACAGAGCTCCAGACTCTTGATTCAGCCTGGGCCACACCAAGCTGTTATCCACATTAGGGGAGTGAACCAGCAGACAGAAGATCCCCTTCTCTCCCTTTCCTGTTGTAGGAAGTTAGAAATTATCCTAATGTGTGTGAGAGGAGCCGACAGAAAACAAAGTATATATTGTAGAAACACACCTTGGAAACAGCCTGGTCAGTATTTCAGGTACAAAGTCAGGCCCAGACCCCATAACGAGGCAGGTGGGCCGACCTATGAAAGGCTCCCGAGGAGAATGCTCTTGACTCAGCACCTAACTGCTCGCCGAGCATGACAACCCCGGGAAATGAAACGCTCCCAGCCGTTCCTGAGGCAGGTACCGGGGAAGCTCCTCTGCCTGGCGCTGGGTGGGTCACCCGGCCTGACAGCACTCACGACTGAGACCTTGGGGGGATTGTTGACTACTTCACTCAACAGACCCTCTGTCCTGGAGGGGACGGAGAAAGAACCCCACTCCCCTACACGCCCCAGCTGAGTAGAGACTGTGCACCCAGCTCCCAGCTCTTTCCCCAGTCTCCCACCTGGCCTGCCAGGTAATATCTCCATGAAGCCGTGGGAGCTGGCTTTCCCAGGTAAGATGGCTGGGCACTCTCCCTGGTTCCCTCAAACTGTCTGGAGACGTGCCCATTGCATCTGACTGCGGCACTGTCCCCTTCACCCTTGCTGATTGCCACTGGCTCATATCTCACATTGCTTCTCAGGCAAAGAACCTATCCATACACAGCATCTCCCTCTGTTTTGAATAATAATAATAACAACAACAACAACCTTTAAAACACTGTCAAAGGACACAGAGAAAGGCAGGCTTCCTCCGGTTCAATATGAGGTCAGGGAGGGATGGATTGAGGAGGGGATTCCCCAGGGCAGAGGCAGAGAGCTGTCTGGGGGAGTAGCAGGTGTCTGAGGGAGGAGGGGCTGACAGATCCCACCCAGGGCTTTCCCAGCCACCAGCCAACTCATCCTCCCTGAGCCCAGGTCCTATAGCTTCCCAGTGCTCTCCGCCTCCCTTAGACTTGCTCGCAGGCCAGGCTGTGCTGGGACCCGCTGGCCCCCACTGGCCCCCGGTGGCAGAGTGCTGAGTGATTAGTTAGGTGATGAGTAAACATTTGCTAAATGGGATTCTTGGCTTCCTGGCAATGCACAGCCCCCGCAGAGGAGGGCGAAGCGCAGATCGTGGGAGGGGGCTCTTCCGTGTGGTCAGCAGAGCGGGCTCAGGGCTCCCGTGGGCTGTGGGCAGAGAGCCATGTGGACAAAGAGCTGGAGGTGCAGGGCCTGGGTGCCTGAAATGTTACAGCAACACTATGCCAGAGTAGAAGCAGCAGGTGTCTGGGAATGGGACTGCGGCCCGGGCAGGCTTCCAGCAAGCGGGTGAGCGCTCCAGCTTGCTGGCACTGGGAAAGGCTCTGGCTGTGTGCAGGAGGCGAATGGCGAGGATGGAACCCACTGTTGAGAAGCTTAGGCAAGGGGGCTGCGTGCTCAGGGAGAGGTTGGGAGAGGGGGCTGGAGGAAAACCCAGTGGGAAAGCTCTGAATTTGTTCCACATCCAGGGCATAACACAAGAGCCAGAGAGAGAGGTCCTGGAGGCACCCGCGCCTCCCAGATGCACAGGGTCTTCAGGGACCCCAAAAAGGGGCCATGACACACCCTCAGCCCACAGCACAAATCCTCCCTGCCCTGGCCAACTCATCCTCCTGAGTTCTCTCTGACTCTCCGACCCCAGCCACTTTCATTGTGGGGTGGGGGTACATGGATCCCGCCTCGGCTCCCAGGGATGCACCTTCTCACTTTGATGTCCCTAGCAACTGGGCAGCAGAGCTCTCGGTCAGCGGTCAGTGTTGTGGAAATGTACTCTAAGGGTGGTTCCACTCTCAGGCCATGGGGAGAATTTGTGTGGGGGATACTCAGAGGTCTCCAACGGCCCTTCTCTCCCAGCCCCTCCAGCAAGAGCTGGCTCTGTTCCCAGCGAGCCCGGTATGGAGAGCATGTGGTAGGAGCAGAGGGGGAGCTGCTTCTGGGCCCATCCAAAGTGCTGAGCAGGTGGAAAAGGCTCATGGGGTCGTGGGAGGAGGCCGGGATCTCCCCACGCTGGGGGCCCACAGGGCAGGTGAGGGAGGCCTGAAGCAGCTGAGCAGGGCTGCCTCTCTGTCTGCCCTCCTGGAGGACAAAGTCCCAGCAACACACCTGGGGCCCAGACCCTACAGCCTGGCCACTGATGCCCACTAACAGGCATCTTGAGGCAGGCAGGAGCAGGGGACCTGGCACCAACGCCTGGCTTCCTTGGCATGGGATTTAGTAAATAATAATAAAGTCCATGGGCTCCTGATTTTCCCACGGACAACCCTGCTTTCTAAAGTTGGAAATGCAACCAACAATGCAGTAGCACCCTCAGGCTCTGATGGATAGCCAGGCCCTGGCCTGTGTCCCACCAGGGCAGACACGGCAGATGGCCTTTTACACTGTGCTCCTGTTCCGAAGGCGTGTCCAGCAAGGCTTGCAAACACAGCCCTGCCACCCTCAAGGTAGGCTAATCTCTCCATTCCCCCACAACAAGCAAGGCCTGTGCAGGGGCTGTGTGGGTCAGCCTCGTCTCCACAGCCCCATCTCCACAGCCCTGGGATAACCGGCTGTTCCCTCGCAGCTGCTGCTGAGGCCGCCAGGGAACCAGCCGGGAAGGATCCAGGATCCAGGACCAGCCTGCTCTGGGGATGCACAGAAAGGGAGCCAAGTCAGGGCCGCCAGCACGTGGGAAGTGACTCATGCTGTATGCGGGCGAGGGAAGGACGGGGGAAGAAGGAACACGCGTGCATGCGTGTGTATGTGTGTGTGTTCACTCCTGCCCCCACCGCCCCTCCCGCTGGGAGCCCTCGCTCTGCCACTCATCGGGAATGCGGGGTGAGCAAATGGAAAACAGGGTTCCTGGCCAAGAGAGACATTTTTTTTTTAATTGTTATTCTTTTTCCCTCCTGTAATCAGATTCAGCATCTCTCACTTCTCGGATACATCTTCTCAGGTGGGAAGTTCACATCTGTGCAAAAGTGTGAGAGAGATTGTGCCCACCCAGGGGTCCTGGTCGGTGCCCCTCCCCTCCGTCTGCCCTTGTCTGTCCCCATTCCTGACTCCTGAGTCTAGATATCCCCTGACCTCCGTCTGGCTCCAAGCAGCTCCTGGCCAGGAAGGCCAGGGTCTCGGTAGTATGGAAGTACCTGAGAAGGTTCTAGAGATGCCCTCAGGGTTCCCCTGGCACTGCTCTCTTCCTGTCCCACACACGGGGGCCCTGGCCAGGCTGCCTACCACTCAGCTGCAGCAGACACAGACTGGCACACTCAGTTTCCCTGGCCTGCCCACAGTGTCACAGGCCAGACACTAGGCCGATGGCACTGGCTAACCCGTGGGCTAACACTGTGGGTGCTGCCTCATCTGTGGGCTTCAGAAACCAGGGGACTACTGCTCTTCCTTCTCCATCCAACCAGGCCCCTATGCCTGGGGCTCCCCCAGGAGGGGACTGGAAAGCTGGGAGGCCACAGGTGAGGCTGTGTTGCATATAAAAACAAGGTGATACTCTATAAATAGCTGAGAATATTGGTCCCCTGGAATGATTCTTGCTGCCTTCCCTTCTCTCCCACCCTCCCCATTGATATCAGGCCCCAGGGCCCAAGTCCAGCTAGTCCATGGACTGATCTTGGCAGGTTGACATTCGGGACAAAAATGCAACTACAAGTCACTCTTTCTAGAAGTCTCCAGTACTGTCCTTAGTTGGGCAGATATAGAATTCTGTATAGTTAGTCAACACAATGAGATGTACAGTTGGAGACGGGGTGGCAGGCGGAGCTGTGCACGTGTGTGTATACATATATATGTGTGAGTGTGTGTGTGTGTATATATATATATATATAAGTGGACATAGTTAGAAAACTGCACCTTCTGTGAGAACCTCACCCATCGTGTGGGGTGGAAGTGCTAATTTTCAGCCTCAGATGGTCTTTCCTTTGGTAATTGGTTCTTGGACCCCAGCCGTTGGGGCCCGGGTCTGTCAGGATTGCCTGAGACACCAGCAGTGAAAGGTGTTACTCCCCCACCCTCCCTCGCCCAGGGAAGGACCCAAGATGGAGTGGGATTGGATTGTTCCAGGGCAAACAGACTAAATGGCCTTGAGCAAGAGTGGGAGGGTTCCATTGCTCCCAGGCTGCTGGTCGACCCAGCCTCTTCCAAGCTTGGCTTCCTTTGGGAACAGTGGGCTCTTCGGATCTCTCCCGAGAGTCAGCGTCCTGCTGGCAAGAGCTCAAGTCCTATGCAGGTCATTCGTCCTGGTGTTGCTAATGAAGGGTCCACCCCGTGCACCTCTGCCCACCTCGCTGGAGCGGACGCTGTCCGTGGGTGACTGGCTGGTTGGGGGCAGCTGGGTGGGACATGCCGATCCCCTCCCACGTGGGGCTGTACATTTTGGGTTTATCATCCACGGGGTAGGGTCCAGCCGGCAGCCCATGGGCTCTGTTGGCCTGTTCCTGCTCCTCCTCGTAAAGAAAAGAAAATAAATCGTGTTCCTCGATGGACACGTGGCAGTGCAGGAGCCGGCAGCCTGAGTCCTCAGCGGAGAGTGACTGCCAGCCCCAGTATCCAGGCCAGGAGTGAGGCCCGCAGGAAGCCGCCTGCGGAGGCCTGCTGCACCCCGCTGGGGACGCGGATATGGGTCCTCCGGGCACACTTGCCCTTCCTCTTGGGCCGAGCCGTGGGCAAGATGTCAAAGCTGAACTTATGCTGGTAGTCAGGGATGTAGTCCGGCAGCTCCTGCACCTGCTTCCCAGCGCCGGCCTTGGAGATCTGGTTGCGGTTCCGGTGGCTGGTGCAGTTCTTGCCGGACTTCTTATGGCCCTTGTCCCTGGCGGGGCCGTGGGACGGCGGGTGGTGCTCCTTGCGGGCAGCCCTGTCGGTGGTGGTGAGCGTGTGCGACTTGATCTGGTGGGGGGACGCCGGCGGCCCCGTGCAGTTCCTGAAGTCGTCAGCCCTTAGCAGCTTCAAGTCCCGGCCTTGCTGCAGCTCGGGCGCAGCGCAGGGGACGGCGGAGCTGGAGCCGCGGAACCTGCGCAGCCACTCCCACAGGGAGCGCGCCCCGCAGCCGCAGTCCCAGGCATTGCCATTGAGGCGGAGGAACTCCAGGGCGACCAGCGGGGCCAGGCAATCGCCCTGCAGCTCCGTGAGGCTGTTATTGAAGAGGAAGAGGGTGGTGAGCCTGTGCAGGTCGTGGAAAGCCCGGCGGTGTACCCAGCGCAGCTGGTTCTCGTGCAACAACAGGCGGTCCAGGTTGACCAGCCCCCGGAAGGTGTCCTGACCCAAGCTCCACAGCTTGTTGCCATGGAGGAACAGGTGGCTGAGGTTGACCAGATCCACAAAGATATCGTCCTGGAGGTACTCGATGTGATTGTCCTGCAGGTAGAGATACTGCAGGCTGTGCAGGCCGTTGAAGATGCCCGCCGGCAAGGCGCTGAGCCCACACTTGTAGAGGTAGAGGGCGTGGAGCCTCACCAGGCCCTGGAAGGTCTCGGGCGCCAGCGTCCTCAGCTGCCGATTGTCCCCAAGGTCCAGCTCCTCCAGGTGTGCGAAGCCCTCGAAGGTGCCGGGGTCAATGAAGGTGAGGTTATTGGAGTAGATCCACAGGGTGACCATGGTGGGGCTGAAGTGACCTGGTTGCAGGAGGCTGATGCGGTTGTTCTGCAGGAAGATGCGCTCGCTGTCTTCAGGGATGCCCTCCGGGATGGTGGCGAAATTGTGCGCCTGGCAGCTGACTGTCATGGGCGCCGGGTAGCATACGCAGTCCCGCGGGCAGCTGCCGCCCAGCGGCAACTCCCCGGCCAACAGCAGCAGCAGCAGTGACAGCTCCACACAGCATCCTGGTAGGGGGAAAGATAGCAGAGCCAGGTCAGAGGGTCGCCCTGCAAGGAACTGGGTGACTGGCACAGGACCCTTCCACGCATGCTCTGTCCTCCTCTTTGCGCTTGGGACCCCAACCCTTCCTCCACCCCCCTAGAACTGCTGCAGATGGAGGAAGGCAGGGGCTGGGCCCAACCCTGGGAGCCACATGGGAACAGGTGCCTCTTCCTGCAGCGGAGGCTCCCCATCTGTCCTGGGGGGAAGCAAGTTGGGGGTGAAACCTTGATGACCCCCTGCCTCCTGAGCTGCACCCCACAGTGTCCAAGCACCTCCTCTTGAGCTTGGCCAGTTCTGCTGGCTGGTGGGAGGATGGGCATGACCCCTGCCCACAACCAGGTCATTTGGAGCCTTCAACCTGGCTTGGCAGCCTGCTTCTAAGGAAGGGAATCTCTATGAGACCACCAGATTATCCCCAATAACCAATATGATCTACACGAAGTCCCTTGTTCAGTGTTTTCCGTTATCCCACAGGAGACGGCACCCAGGTTCGTGTCTCTAAGACACAGAGGAGGACAGAGGTCTCTGCTGCGCAGCTTTGTAGATGTCCTGAGAGGCCACAGGGCTGTGACAGGACTCGGGGGAATGGAGCAAGGCAGTGGGGACACAAGCACGGGGCTGCCCCAGGGCCCAAGAGGCAGTTGGTCAAGGCCAACTTCACCCCAGCCACCTTCTCCTGCCCCCTCCCCATCGCCCCTGGCCCCCATTGTGGCTGCAAAACCAGGCCACGCCTCTTGACTGTCTGCAGCATTTCCTCTGTAGCTTCCCCTTAATTGGGCATTAATTAGGCATTCTTTAATGGATCCCGAAAAATAATTTATTTTCGGATGTGTCCAGCCTGTGGTCGGCTGAGAGCCCCACACTCATTAGCACAGCAGCCTCATTACAGACAGTCGTCGTCACCTGCCTTTGCCCAGGGTCACGGCTGGCCTGGCAGCCTGCGAAATGTGCCAGGGTGTGGGCGACAGGTTCCTTCCTGCCCCCGTTGGCTTCCTGCCCCTTGCCCTCCAGCCTTTCCAGTCAGGCCCCTGGGGATAGCTGCCACATCTGGGGCACCTCAGCACCTCTTCCTCCTGCCAGCTGCACCCAGGGCCTCCAGGATGGGAAGACAATCACCCCTCATCCGCTGCCCCAAAGCCCAGTCTCATGCTGGCCGGCCGCCCAGGCTCCTGGTCCTGCCACTGCCTGAGCTCTGGGCTGAGCCGGCCTCACCACCACTGCCATCTCCTCCTCGCATGCAGAAACAGCGCCGGCAATCAGTGACAGCTCCCAGCTGTTGGGAGTTATGGGCTCCCAGAGAGTGGCAGCTGCTTCCTGTCCCCCCCACCCCGTAATCACCCGGCTCCGACCGAATGCTCAAAACGCATAAAAATCATCACACGTAATTTGCTTTCTGCATAATTGGGTTCGCTTGTGATTTCAGTGCAATTATGACCTGGGAGGCGGTGGTGGCGCAGCTTTGAGGACCCCTTCCGGAAGAGGCCATGCTCCACGTGGCCTCAGAGGCGCCTTCAGTCACCCCAACCACAGGACAGCCCACAGGCCGGGCCAAGGCTGCTGTCCTCCAGCCTCAGTCCTGCCTCACCAAAACATGCATAGGCCATGACGGCTAAGGCCAGCCTTCCCCACCTGGAGCCCATGCTGCCCCCCACTGGTCTTAGAGCTGCCACCCAGACACACACACACACACACACACAAAGCCCATCTCCATCTGTAGAGGCAGGCTGGTATGTAAGAGGGTAGGGGCCGGGGCTCCAAATCACAGCTGCACTGAGGGACCCCACATCTCTCTCCTGCTTTAGCAGCTAGGAGGGGGGCCTGGTGTGATAGCCTAGTGGCTAAAATGCCTCGCCTTGCATACAGTGGAATCCCATATGGGTGCTGCTGTTTCATGTTCTGGCGACTCCATTTCCCATCCAGCTCCTTATGTGTGGCCTGGGCGGCTGGCCAGCATGAGACTGGGCTTTGGGGCAGCGGCTGAGGGGTGATTGTCTTCCCATCCTGGAGGCCCTGGGTGCAGCTGAGCAATAGAGGACGGTCCAAAGCCTTGGGACCCTGTACCCACGTGGGAGACCCAGAAGAAACTCCTGGCTTCTGGCTTCAGATTGGCTCATCTCCAGTTGTTGCAACCAGTTAGGGAGTGAACCAGTAGATGGTGGATCTTTCTCTCTGTCTCTCCAAGAAAAATAAATACATCTTTAAAAAAAAAAAAAAAGAGCTGGGGGGGTGGAGCTCAGCCACAGGCAGAACCAACAACACCCTCATCTCCTCTGTCCACTCACATTGCTCACCGCTGCCCAGGCGGCACCTGCAGGAACCCACTCCCAGTGATCTCCCTGTGCTGTGTCCCTGGGGTGCTAGGCTGTCCTGGCTGTCCCCTGGTGGTGGGTGTTCAGTGTTTCAGGCAGAAAGGGCTTGGGCTTGGGGTGCTGCAGGGGCAAAGGCTTGTCCTCTGACGGGAGTGACACTAACCTCAGGAGACATTTGGCCAGCTAACTGGAGCTGCATTGTTCCCCTGCTGCTACTGTGGCTGTTTTTGGAAGCCGCGGGATGGAGTTCTCTGAAATGACACCCAGGAAAGCTGGGGCCCCCTGGAGACATAAAGTGGCATAGCCTGCTGAGACAGAAAGTGGTGGCCTGCATGGGGGAGTCACTTAAGTCCCTGGTGTAAGGTGGAAAAGCCAGACCTTCTAAGAATCAAGGTGGACAGGTGGGTGGGATGAAGGCATTGTCCAGGGAAGAAACATCTTACCCTCCCATGGCCAGGGTTCCAGAAGGAGGCAGGGCCCCAGCCAAGGCCTGCCTCACACACCTGTCACCTAGAGGAGGCTGGGGGGCTGGGGGACTGGCCTGACACAACATAGCCCAAGGACCACAGAGGCCCCTCTGGAAGCCGGCTGCTGGGACCTAAGGGGAGCTGTTGTCCAGCCCCCATGGCACTGACCTGCTTGGATGCCAGAGGGGCTGATCCTCCTGCAGTGGGATGAGTAGGCATTAACTCAGAGAGTGAGCCTGCCTCTCTGGCCTGGAAGTCGGCTCCATCTGTGGATCCCAGATCCGCTGTCCTAGGGGACCCCGGACCAGGGGTGATCTCTGGCACCCACAGAGTCTGAGTTAGCTGGACCCAGCCCTGGGTTTTCTGTTACTAACCAGTTTCTTTCCCAAGGAGGCAAGCATTGCAGGGCTCCTCTTATACCCCTCTTGCAGCCCCTTGGGAGGCCTGACCAGCTGATTGCTTTACTAATGCATTAACAACCAGGAGACTAAGACTGCAAATGAGCAGGGGGCCTGGCCTCAGGTAATGGCCTTGGAGCCCCTCTTGCAGCCTCCTCAGCCCACTCTCTGTGGTGGGGTAGACCCCTTCTTTCCCTGGGGTGGTGCTGCCTTGAGGGTCAGGAGAGAGCATGGCTGGCCATTCCATGGCACAACTGCCCCCCTTCCTTCCTCCTCCTCTTCCTCTACCTTCCCCTCAGTCCCTCCTCGTCCCTTGCACATCAGAGCTCACCTGGCTCCATTCAAGACTTGTACAAGGTGCCTGCGGTGTTGCTAGCACCAGTGTGGGGCGAGCCCTCAGAACTTCTTAGCTGATAGTGGTGGGGAGCATTTAATGCCAGGCTGTGGGACAAGTGCTGGGCACCTGGGCATGTGCGTGGAGTGTGGTGGGGCTCAGCCTGTGCTGCAGCCCTTACCGCTCAGCTACCAGACACAGACAGCTCCTCCATTTGCTGAATACTGGGTGTGTGAACTGGGTCTAAGAAGGGTCCCTTGGATTCAATGAGAGGTGGCATGCATGGCTCCTGGCTCGGCATCCAGGTCCCGGCCTCTGATCTGGGAGAGCTGGGGCTGTTGTCCCGCTAACAGACAGCATGCATGCAGCTGACTCGCTCAGGCTACTCAGCAGCCCCCAGATGTGCTTGTGAGTGGTCCCAGGGAAGGGGAGGCAGGGTACAGACCTGCTTCCCAATGGGAAGGGGAAAGGGCACAGCATCTGCAAAGGCTAAGAGACTTTTGTGTTTAATAATGTTTACATAGTTGAGAAGGATATAGGCTCTTGTCTTAATCCTGTCCCCTCTCAGACTCTGCCAGAGGAGTTTGTCATGGCACCAGTCCCGTCTGCATCTCGGGGACCCTGCAGTGTCTTGGACCCTGGGAGCCGGAAGGGAACTGAGAAACCCACCCCCATCCCTGGGTCTGACAGTGTGCCCCAAGAGCCGCTCCCCTCACCTGCTGCCACGGAAGAGGCCACTGCTCCCTGTCCCCTGAGCTGGCCTCTCCCTGGCTCCCAGGCAACCTGGGGAGCTCTCTGAAACCTAGGCACTGGCCAGCCCTTCTGCAGTGGCCCTCCCCCTGCGGGGCAGAGGGGCCTCCTCCCCTGCTGCCCAACTCCCCCCTTCCCACTGCTCCTCTCTAGGCCGATCGATGCTAACCCAATGCTCTCTGTGGATGGATAATGGCCTCAGGCCAGGCCGGCGGCACTCACCAGGCTGCTGGCGCCTCAGGCCCCTGGGCACTGTCCCTCTCCATCCAACCCAAATGCAGGCTCCTATTTGGTAGAGTGCCCTCTGCCCTGGGAATCTGGCCCAACCCCAGGGACAAGAAGACATCCAGAGTACACCAGGGATCTGCCGGGCAGCCCCATTTGTTGGGGTGGGCACCATGGTCAGCCTCACCCTTTTTCTGGCACAGGAGAAAGAAGGTTTCGCAGCCTGGGTTTGAAATCCTGGCTCCCCCACCTAGTCAGCTTGTCCTGTTGCTGGCATGAGCTTCCCTTCCCCCACCTGTCAAGTGTGTGTGTATGGTGGGTAGTCCCTAAGTCTGTGGACCCTGGCGCATCCCCCCACACCTCCATCACATTCCTGCCCAGGGGAAGGCAGCTCCTTCACTGATGCTCTCTTTCCTACCTTGCCCCATCACGTAAAAAGCCTATGTGTGAAAGGGGGCATTGTGGTGCAGTGTGTTATGC